AAATACTATTCAAAATGAGTGACCGTGGAGGACATTATGCTGAGTGAAATATCTCAGTCACAAAAGGACAAATACTGCATAGTGCCACTGTTGTAAAACAGGACTGACATCAGGGTTGGGGGGAGACTGAGAGAGATGGGATAAATAATGTATACTGCATTGAAACAGACGAGGGCAAAAACTGTTTAAAAGGGATATGTGATTAGGTATTATTGTCATGAAAGGAGTCCAGAATGAAGTCTGCATAGTGGAGTGGACTTGGGGGGAGGGATTGTATAACAATGAAAGAATTTTTCTTTTACTTTTCAAAGAGAAGAGTGAATTGGGGGGAAGGTGAGGTGGGCATGGAGAAAAGCACAATAACAAATGAATGGAAATCCTCAGTCTGTAAATTTTCATTAAAATTAATAATAATAAAAAAATTAAAAAAAGAAGGCAAAACAAAAGGAAACCATGCTGAAGCAAAAGAGATGAAAAGAAGATTTCAAAGGGCAGCTCGGGATGACAAAGTAAAGTATTACAATGGAATGTGCAAAGAGTTGGAATTGGAGAATAAAAAGGGGAAGAACTTGCTGTGCATTTCTCAAGCTGAAAGAACGGACAAACAAACTGAAGCCTCATGTTACAATACTGAAAGTTGCGATGGGCAATATACTGAATGACCCAGAAAGCATCAAAAGAACATGGAAAGAATACTCAGAATCACTGTACCCGAAAGAACTGAATGACACTGAAAATTTTCAGGAAGTACTGGTCTGTCATTTTGCTGTAAAAAGGGAACTCATGGTTGCTGTGAGCGTAAACACTGTGACACTGATGTGTCAAATGTGATAATGGTTACCACTGGTGGACAGTGCTTGGTGGAACTCCCAAATTATAACAGGTTTGGAAGCAGGAATGGCACCCACTTCCAAAATAGCTTGCCTCTGAAAACTTTATGAGCTTAAAGAAGAAAGTTTTTCATGTTCAAGACTTTCCTTCATAGGGTTGCTATGATTTATCTAAGACTCAACAGCACTTAGCAACAACCATAAGAAAAGGAGCCAGTGGTAATGAA